TGAGGTTGTCGGAGAGAATATTTGGACGAAACGGGGAAGCGTAATGGGGTTCCAGCCGTTCGACAGGTATGGGGGTAGAGAAAGACTAGGGAGATATCAGGCTGATCACGAAATCGCTGGACATGCAAAATGTAAACGCGCTAAACGGCACTTGGATGTGCAGGAAATGGAGCAATGCGGAGAGGTCGGGTTAAAATTAATGCGCAGCCATGCGAGTCGCATCAAAAGTTTCAGAGCGGGTCATACCGACACGACCCAGTCTTTTCGCCTTTGATAACAGCATGGTACCTTTATTGGGAGGGGGGCAGGGGCTGTCGCCGATGTCGGTCTCCTCGTCGTCTGTCTGGGTGATATTACCGATCTCAGTCACAGTTGAGAGACCATTACGGCGTGTACGAGCGGCGTTTGCGGCAGCAAATAGCTGGGGAGCACCAGCAGGCGCTGTGTTCCTCTTGGATGACTGTTGGGTCATGCCAGTAACCTTCGAAGCCAGGTCACCGTAGCGTATGACTTGGTGCGTCCAAATCTGCCCTTGCGGAACTGATCCAAGTCCTCTTTGCGGGAAAGTGCAAAGTTGGGGTCGTCCATCGTGACGTAGCCCCGAGGACGACAGCGAGAAGCACACTGTTTGTAATATTCGCAGTACCCGCCTTCCAAGATGTAAATCTCCGGATAATGAATCTTTGGATATATGTGGTTATTCATCGCGCGGTCTTTGGCACGGAGATGTTTAGCACTGAAGGGTATCGCAAAATTAGTGTCAGGAGGGAAAACGGCGAGGCATTTTCGGCTTACAATGTTGGAGCTCTCTTTGCACTGAATTCACAGTGGAAAACCAGGATAGTCTTTTTCTGGGAGTCGCCACTAACAGATGGTTTAGGCTTCTGCACGCCAAGTAAGAATTCTTCCACGCCAGTGGTGGTGTTGATGTTGACGGCGCCGGGAATATGTCCACCATTGTACTCATAGTCAAAGCGGCAGTCGATAACGTGGAAACTTGCGATGCGGGAATTATAGGCACCGTCAAGAAGGTCATCCAGCTAAATGGAAACAAGGCGTTAAGTGTTGTCACCAACATTGCAGATAAAGGCAATCACAGTTTTCGGTACGACCCTCATCAAGCCATCCTCGCGCACGCGGTGACATGGTAAGACTTTGCCCAGTGTCTCATTATCACCAAATCCTGGCAATCCTGCAGCCATGAATTTCGCAGAGGGACTCTCAAACATATCACGCTGAACCATAGCGGTCGCGCCAGTCAGAGGTCTGAAATCCTCCGTTCCGTCGCGTCTGCGGATGGCCTTGACCTGCTGTCGCTTGGCGTATGCCTGGGCGGGAGAGGACATGTCAGGATCGTCGAAAGAAGAACCCTCATCAGAGAAGTGTTCGAGGACAGTGGATGGCACCATAGAAAAGGCACGTCGCGAAGGAGGCAATTCGAGTGATGACTGCTTCTCTGACGAAGCGTTTGAATCAAGCGTGGGGTATGCGGATTGTGGCGAAGGAACACCGGGTTGTACCAAGGCTGAGAAGACAATACGCCGGGCTCGTTTGCTTGCGTTAGGAGGGACTCCCAGGCCCTGAAGTGCAGGTTTGGCGAAGGTAGCCATGCGATCTAGCTTGTGCTGCGAAGGGGACGAAGGAGCAGGCGATGACGAAGCTTCATGATCAACCCGCGAAATGGTCTCCGGAGATAAAGAACGACGCTTTTTTGGCTGCAGCCCTCCAGGGGTGTCTAAGTAAGATTGGGACATAGCCCCATAAAACAGATTGTTAAACTCAGTCACAGCGGGTGCTGCAGAAAGAGGCGGAGAGGGCAACAGGTCCTGCGCAGAAACCTCGGGAACAGGATCCACGTCCATGGCGTCATCAGCCGCTAAAGAAATAGACACATCCGGCGGCTGTCCGTGCAGTCATGTAAGCAACAAGCCTGCTGGTCTAAACTAAAAGGATCACTTACTGGAGCAAACATGTTTCCATCCATTGTCTGAGAGGTTCTTAAAGGCTTAGAGGCGACTATCCACTCCATAGGAAGCGCACTGCGCTGGGTTCGTTTGAAGTTTGCTTGAGAGCCAGTTTTTGTGCTGACGGAGTCATTGGAGAAATTGCTGTTGCTCATGTCCTGACCGAAAATGCGAGCGGCACTGGTGGATGCACGGGGGCGCGTGGTAGGCCTGTTCGTCTTCTCATTCTCCTTCTGAAGGGGGCGGTACGCAGGCGAGATATCCATTGGGACATCGTGATCTTGCGCGAGCGTCATTGTGTCACGTGGAGGAGAGTTGAGAGACATGGTAGAAGCAAACGACAGCTCAAGGTCAGAAGACAAGAAATCATCAATATCATCACGTCTAGGATTGAGCATCTGGCTGCGCTTGCGAGAAGGAGCAGGTGGCGCGTGTAGGTATTGCATCGAAGCCGAAGCCGAAGAAAGGGTAGAGAAGAAGGTCATGTCGCGAGAAACCGTAGTGGAAGATTGCAATTGAGCTTTTTTTGGAAGCTTGTTCGAATGATAATCTGTGAGTCGTTTCAAGAATGAATCAGACATGGTTCGTGAGAGGTTAATGTGAAACAAGTCAAATAATCGAGCCAATAAACAGTGTTTGAGTGCCAGATGGTAGTTGGAGAGGTTGAGCACAAGATGTTACAAGAGAAAGGAGTGTCCAAGAAGAGAGGAAATAGTCAATGGACAACATCCACGGTCCACAGACATTTGATTATGAGAAGAAACACATACCGAACGAAGATGTGGCCCAAAGAAACGGATTGTGGCCGGTGGATTTACCGAAAGTAGTGGCTGTCAACGATAAAATCAGCGATCTTATATGACTTAGGGTACGAAAAGAGCTGAACAAAGAAAAACATCAATAGAAAATGAGCAACATCCACTTGGCCATATAAGCTGAACCACTGGGAGTTTCGCGTAAATGAATTTCCTCATGGTTTGTTTATGCCGGCGCGTTGGTCATCCAAAGATGAAGCATAGCTCACCTTGAACGTAATGATAGTGTTAACGGAGGAGGCCGCGCCTGGGTAGTGCGTACAGAATAAGAGTGAGCTATCGTTGCTAAATGACTTAACCAACTTGGCTTCAGCCAGAGTATTGCTCACAGTGCAACGAACTTGAACAGAATAGAAAACGTAAGCGAATTTTGATGCGGACAACTGTAGGTCCAACAAATTTGGATCCTGTCCTAAAACGGTCAGCGACGCGCTCAATTAAGCGGTATAACTAGGCAAGAAGCAAGAATATCGCGTGCTGAGGGTATGAGGTGTCCTGCCTCCGCAACTGATTCGGTCCTACGCACTATTTCGCCCCAGTGGTATGTGCTGATGAGAAGACTGGCCAAAAGAACAATTGTTTGCCCCTTCTTTGGCGTATGTTGATATTCGTCACGTGCATTTTGTCTTTTGTTTCTTGATCAGGCAGGTATGTACGAAATTATAATTTATACATAATAATGCATACAAGTCAGAGACGGTCTTGGATTCTGTAAACATACAGTGTACTACCGGTACCTTTCACACCACATTCACACTTGTCGAGTCAAGGCATGTAAACTACTGTTTTAAACAATTTGAGTACCCAGAATTAGTATTAGGCATCTAAATAGTACTACCAATGCAATGTTTTATTTTTTTTTGCAATGTTGAACACGCTCGATGATTTAAAATATCAAGTGCTCAAATGTCACACAAATGTGGTACGTTTCACAGTGTGACCAACGTTTCACACCTGGCTCACACATTCTCTTCATCAGAGGACTTGCTACTAGAACTACCACGTTCTTGCTCATCAACACCCTCAGCCACCAGCCCTGAACCATTTTCATCATCACAATCTGCTTCAACTGCCTGCTGTGGTGCTCACTTGGGCTTTAGTGGCCATTTTGGTTTCTTTGGCCAATCTTTCTTTCTCACACCCTCTACATTCAAGTGCTCACACTCGACCTGCCAGTCCCTCACAGCTGCTGCATGTTTCTCCTTGATCTCATTCCACTGTGTCACCAGCTCAACACCCTTGCCATGCCTCACATCTCTTGCTGCTTTTCTTTGTTTTCTCACTTCCACTTTTTTGGCACGCTTTGCTGTTACAACTACGGTTACCCCTATCTCTTTTCTCTCTTTTCTTGCTCATGTATTACGTCATGACCGCACCTTACCGTGCCATCATTAGACCAACCAACTGTCCGCAGCTGTATTACATCACAACTGCCACGTGCCGTTGCTAGATGACACCATCTCTTATCTCTGACTCGTCTAGATGACGCCATTTCTTATCTCTGACTCGTCTAGATGACGCGTACAATACCAGCCCTAAATCTCTTACGTCTATATAAACCCGGTCTTGTACTTAGTTAGAACTTCACTTTAATCTACTAGGTTTTACCCAGAACTATCCTTCGCTTAGGACCCCCAATCCTAAGTCGTCTGATAACCGATATTCAAGCCAGAGACACTCTCTCTGACTTGTCTTAAGAACCTTACATTTGTAAGGCTTGAACCAGCTTCAGGCATGCTCTTATCGAGTACCTGTTGTCGAGCCCATCCTAGTTCGCCGTAACATTTGCACGATCCTCCTTCAATTCATCAATAAACTGGTGTTCTGTCATATGACGCCTGTTCCCCTTTGGATACAGTTTGACTCAATCCATGTCTTTCTTGTCACCTGTGTTGAGGGTCTCATTGAGTTTTCGTAAGGTGAGATCTTGAATTATGATCTGTGCATTCTGGCCTGCATTGATTTGTTCATGTGTAGCAAGTTGGTGTTTTGCATGCCAGAGAGCCTCCTCGAGGTCCAGGCAACAAGTTTTCCAGTGCTCAATATCTCTCATCTCATCTCCTGAAGCTTGTTTTGCAATCAACAAGCTCCAATCTGGCTCTGGTAGTACTGGTGGTTTCTTGAACACTGGTGCGGGGACCAACTGACCTTTTGACATCCATGTCTTTGATACAAGGAATGAAGATGATGTTTGTGAGAGCGAAGCTGTCATCAGGCGCATATGTTTTGAGGGGGTATCAGTGATTTCGCTGTCATAGTGACGACGGGATGGTGAATCTGGGGTATTTGGTTTTGTCGCAACTGCTGAGCTTAGTGATTCATGGCTTCCAGGGAATTGAGATGGTCCTGCAATAGGTTGAGTGTCTTTGTGTGTGTTTGGGGATAATTCAAATGATGTTGGCTGATAATTTGTGAATGCAGCTAGGACTGCTCGTGTTGGGCTTGAATAGGGCAGCAGAAATGTGCTACAAGTGGAACTCTCCTCGCTTGGCTTCATTTGATCAGCTGTGATGACATTTCAGTCAAATGGGCAGATACCAGTGACACAGAATGCTGTTTTAACAAGGTCTGGAGTAAATGTGCTAACAAATGCATGTCCAAATGTGCCTGTGAAGTCTGCCTTCTTGATACCACGTCGTCAGGTTTCTTCAAATGCACTGACTTCTTCATTAAAGCTAGCTTTCATCCTCGCAAAGCACACAACATCAAGGCCCTGCAGGGCATGAGTACAGTGTGGCAGGTATCTGAGGATGGTGATATTGTTGTCCATCGCATACTTGAGGAGCTCAGGTGTGAAATGTGAGCTATGTCCATCCATGAGGAGCACATGAGCTCATCCACTAGCTTTCTCTTTTGTTTGTGGATCGAAGTCATTGATCATCCAATCCAGGCACAATTCACCATCAGTCCACCCATTGGGTGAATGACAGAGACTTGTCCAAAATTCAGTGAGCTGTAGGGCAGTTGTCAATCGAGACTCACAAGGCATGGGCAACATTATTGTCCCCCCACTTCTGCATGAAGTTTTGACCTTTGAAGATGATTGTCAGGCAGAGAGCAGTGCCATCAGCACAGATCGTGACAATCCCTGTCACATTCTCCTGATCTGCAGATCCTGCAGTGTGCTGTAGCTTGGCTCCTCGTGCCCCGACACAATGACGTGACTGAGTGTTTGTCAATGGGAAGCCACTCTCATCCATGCCATAGATGTCTTCAGGTCGGATGCCCTTGTTGACTATGTGTTCCTTGACTAATGAAAACCAGTGATTGACATTTGAAGGGTTTAAGGCCTTGGCTTGTTGAGTATCAAGGCCCTTTCCCCAGTGCATCTGTAGCTTATCATGGTGATGGTTGAGGAACCAAAAAACCCACTGATGTCCAACTTTGTCCTTTGCAGGCTCGAAGCTCTCTCCTTTCCACCTCTCAATAATTGTGTTGGCATAGTTCTCAATCTGTTCATGACTGAGGGGAAAGCCTCGTTTAGCTGACTTGAGTAGGAAGTGGACCATAATATGCTCCTCAGCAGCTAATATCTTCTGTTTTGAAGTCATGTACTCTGAGAGGGGCCAAGTTTTGCCTGTAGCATGATTGAGTATAGTCTTGTACTGCTTAGGAACACCAAATTCTTCTGCAATTGTCCGAACACCCTTTCTCTTCTCTCCTGTTGGCCGAGCTTGCTCAACACAATATGCATGAACTGCCTGCACTAATATGTTGCTCTGTGTGCGCAGCTGCTTGATCCGCTTGACGCGATCCGACAAGGCACGAAATACCATTAGAGTCGGTAAATTAGTTTATGTGGTGATAGAAGTAGGGTGTGGGCTATAAGAATCGAAGCATACCAGACGCGCGACGCGTCTTTGACGCGAGCCGTCACGCATTGTCACACTTGAAACAGGTTTTGCACAAAATGCCTTTTGCAACATGGAATTTCAACCCAATCACTCCCTTCTGTAGAGATATTTTGTGCAGGATACCTGGCTGATTAAAATGATGCTACATATACAGGCAATTTTCGGTGAATTCATTGCACTGGGCCTGGTACAAAAGTTGTTTCTCAGCACAACTGTACCATTTCTTTGACTGAATCCATCCCCAGCTTTTACACACTTTACATATCTCTTTGTAATTTTGTATTATACTTCTATACATGCTTCTTAATGCATGGCTCAAGTGGCAGGACAAAATAATAATAATTGACGAAGTTTTAGCACAAGTGTGAAATGCACCGGTGGTGTGAAAGGTACCGGTAGTACACTGTACTTAGTCCCAGCTGCACATAAACACATCAGTGATGAACGCTAGCGTCCGACTGCAGTAGAAATAATTTCAGAGAGGACGCACCGTCACGGTATGAACACATTTTGACTATGTGATGATTCAGTAGAATGATTCAGTTCAGGATTCACCCATTCTACGATATCGACGATAGCCTTGGAGACAATCTTTGGCGAAAGTCAGCAAACTTGACAGACCCTCAGAATCCCAGGTTATGCGTACTTCGCAATCATCGCTGTTAAGATGCAGCCCATCGATCAAACATCTTTTGCATCCCTCCTCGCCTCGATTGGCGCCATCAAATATTTGCGTCCAGATGTCCGACGGGCACATTCTCTCTTGCACCTACTTTCTTGACAGCCTCCGTGTATGGCATCGTAGTCTCAAACACATTGACTTAGGCTTACCCCGTTGCTTCTTATTCATTGGTGACGGGGTAATCAAGATTATACGGGAAGTAGTAAGCTGATGTCGGCAATTTTACCATCTGACCAAGTTTGCTTTGTATCTGTCTCTCGGGACGTGTCGTGAATTGGAAGTTGGTGCCATACCAAATTGTGACTAGCTTGGCCTTTGGGACCTGATGCTGCTCAGGCTGCTTGGCAAAGATCTGTTAAAAATCCACCGAGCACCTGTCTTCGTCCCCAACAAAGGCATGTCTTTGACCTGCTCGCATACAGGAATTGCCTAATCCGTTTGATAATCTGCAAGGCCGCGGTTGGTAACATCAGTTTTATCTCTAGATGTCGTGGCCGCAGATTCTAGTTCCCGAAATGTATGTTGTCTACATACCCGCAAGTAACAGCGCAAAGCCTCCTTGTTCCCATCCACGTTGAGTGATGGAGTCACTGATGAGCATAATAACATCTTGTACATTGGCAGCCATACATTTCCTTGTTTTATGACCGATTGATCAGGATAGGATTTGACGGAAGTTTGAACTCAGTAAGCATTCGCCCAGTACCCAGCTTGTGCTGTTCGACGGGTTGCTATTATTTGAAATGAGAACTTTGGAATGGGTATGTGGGTATGTATGTAGGAGCAGGAGCAGGAGCGGGAATAGTTGCTGATCTCTCTCAACAGCAACCTATGAATTCGAAGTGGCATCCAGCAAACTAATCATGTGGTCGGGATTGTGTGGCCGATATGAAAGTCAGCCGCGTCCTTGTCAAGTTACACCTACAGTTCCAAATCCTCCCTCTCATCTCGTTTCATGCATGAACACGATCTAATATGCCACAAATCTAAGAAAAAGACATTCAATATTCAGGACTAAAGTTGCGCTTTTCGTTTCATCAGAGATGGTCTTGGATTCTGTACGTTTACTTGGTCCCAGCTGCACATAAATGCATTAGTGTTCTGCAGCAAAAATAGGTTCAAAGAGAACGCACGGTACAAACACAGTTTGCATCCTCGCATGTGCTTCCCAAGTAGGATCTAATTCAGGATACACGCGCTCCACAATGTCCATGATGGCCTGGAAGACGATCTTTAATCTTGAAAGTTAGCAAGCCTGACGAGTTAGAATTCAAGTTCGCGCATACGTTGTAACCATCACTGGTTAGATGTAGCCCGTCGTTCAGGTATTTTTCGCATGCCTCTTCACTTCGACCAGCAGCATCGAATATCTTTGTCCAGATATCTGCGACGGGCACACACTCTTTCTCACCTACTTCCTTGACAGCCCCCGCGTACGACCTCGTCGTCTCGAATACACGTGGACTGTCAAGCCTGTCCCATTGCTTCGTATTTACTGGCGGCGGTGTGATCAAGATTATACGAGTCTCGGGGGAGTAGTATGCTGAAGTCGGCGATTTCACCATTTGGATGATATGGCTTAAATTCGATTTGTATCTGTCTATCGGGACGTGCTGTGGGCTGGGAGCAGGTGCGGCGTCGTTGGCACCGTACCAAATTGTGAGTAACTTGACCTGCGGAACGTGATGTTGCTCATGCTGTTTGGCAAATATCTACGAATACGCTCAGCACAATTCATAAGTGGCAACATTGAATTTCACCTGCTCGCAAATTGGAATTGCCCAGTCCGTTTGATAACCCCCGAGGCCACGGTTGATAACATCGAGCTTCCGATTGTAGGCTTCTATACGTCGCAGCCTCAGATTATAATTCGTACAAAATGTTTGTGATATACGTACCTGCAAGTAACTGCGCGAAGCCTCCTTTTTCCCATCCTTGTTGAGTGAGGGAGTCACCGACGAGCATGACGACATCTTGTACATTGGCGGCCATACTACTATCTAGACTTATCCTCGCCTTTCGACCGACCGATCAGTGTTCGATAGATGTCCGTAGACATTTACCCATGTTACTCACCCGATTGCTCTAGTCTTTGAAATGAAGGGGTATCAGGTTGTAGAAACAGAGCACGATGATCTTATAAACACATCTTTGACTTGTACTACGGCATTCCGCGTTGGGAGTCATGTGGTCGGGGTTATGGTTATGTTATTGTCGGAAAATTCTAATTTTGGTTGGAGGCCTCAATTTACCGGCGGCATTGCGGTCCGGTTGCGAGAGTCCTATGGGATTTTTCGTTACACTTCGACTTCCCGAGAAGCCACACGGATTTTCAATGCCTGATTAGTGTTTGATTTGAGTATCATAAATGATAAAGCTCAAACCAAACACTCATCAGACATTGAAAATCTGTGTGGCTTCCCTGGAAGTCATTGAAGCATAATCAGAAATCTACTGTAGGAATTTCCCCACAACTCTCAAAAATTGATTGCTCCTCATAATATTAGAGCCTTCCCATAAGCTGTAGTGCCATCTAAAGTGGCAAAACCTGCTACCTGATCTGTCTTGTTCTCTGGATTTTTCTAGTAGGACTTATGTTGGTCCTCTTACCATACATTTGGTTTTCAATATGTTATACTCACAAACTATCCTATTGTTACTGATAAGTTATACAAGTAATACCATTCTTCATATATTGTACAAGATTTCAATGACAGATTGTTGTGTCATTACCTGAGCTGACTGAGGCTGTTATAACCATATCACTCTTCACTCTTCCCTCACTCTCTTTCCCAATTGGACTCTGGCCATAGCATACAATGCTCATGGTTTAGAGGCTAACAGCACCAGGTAACTAACCTGAAAATGATAAAACCATGTGAAGCTTTATTTATTCTAAAATACATATAATATATATCACAATTGTAGTCCAAATGAGAAAGCTTTAAATACCTGGACTAAGTTGGATGGAAACTACCAAAGGTACAATCTTGATAGTCAGTTTGCAATTACCTATCAAGTTGGCAAATATACACAAAGCTTTAGAGGCCTAGAGGGCTTTGGACAAACTCACCAAAGACTCAAAGGTGCTGAATACTGTAGATGATTATGATAGTTTATCTTCAAAAACCAAATTTATTGACAAATGTGTACATGTGCTACATACTGTATAGACATGCACTTAGGTTCGGCCCTATTTAGGTGTGACCAAATGAGCATTAGGTTCGAAGGTTCGCAGGGGGTGTGTGACGTGTGACATGCTGTGATTAGGTTCATTTGGTAAGCAACCAACATTAGGCAGACAATATCCTTTGTATACATGTGCAGTGCTATGTGCTGATCCTCATGCTCAACCTGGAAGTGCTCGCTCTACAAACATTGTCTCTAATTTTATTTCTGCCTGGCAACACAATATCTTCTCTATATACAACAAGTTGGAGAGCTATGAGCAAGTGGTGGATGGCATGGAGCTTCAATCCACGGTGAATGGGTCTGAGGAAGTTGAGGCTGAGGGTTGTGGTAAGTGCAGACATGTTGCAAACACTCAGTACAAGGACTTTTGGCTGCACTAGTTATTTTTTTAATGTTTTTACTGCATGTCACAATTTAGGTTTGATGGTCTCAAAATTGGTGTGACCGTCACACAAATTAGGTTCGATTTGCCAGGTGTGTGACACTGTGACAAACCTAAGTGCATATCTATACAGTACTAGTATATAGTGTGCTATGAAAGAAGAGGGAAAGTAATACTTGGAGGGACTATGAAAGAAGAACCACCAAAGAGCCAGGGAGGAGGGGGCCACAAAGGAGGCCAGGGAGGGACCATGAAAGAAGGCTGGAGAGGCTTCTGAAAAAATTAGGGTTGATATAGTGCACTTTATATCATACATAGCTGTCATAGCCTCATAACAACTCCCCCCTTTATGGTCACTGTATAGCAATATAATGTTATCACCAATTGTTATGGACTAGGATAGTCGTAACAACAGCAGCTTGATAAGAGCAACAACTGAAGTTATGAGCAAGTCCTTGCAAATACAAGGGTCATAAGACAAGTCAAAGAGAGTGTCTCTGACTCAAATATCTGTTCAGACAACTTAGGATTGGAGGTCCTAAGCAAAGGATGTTTCTGGTGAAAACCTAGTAAGATTAAAGTAAAGATCTACTAAGTACACAACTGAGTATATATAGAACGTAAGTGCTTTAGGGCAGGTACATATACATCAGTGATGAGTCAGAGATAAGAATGAGTCATCTAGTGACAGCAATGGTGATCATGATGTAGTACAAATATATCAGAAGGTAGGTCTAGTGATGGTGCAGGGCAGTGCGGTCATGACATAATACAAAGGGAAAAGGAAAATGAATAGGGGCAGGTGTAACTGTAACATTACCCCTCATTTAGGAATGAAGTCACCGACTTCAGTTATCCTGGTTAGCCCAGTAAATAGGGTTGGCGTCGTAATTTGAGTCCAACAAATTGTTTTGTTCCTTGGTGATAGGGAGTGACCTATCAGCTAGTTCAGCGGCGTGATAAATGGCATCCTGCTCAATCTCCCAATGAGCAAGGGTTTCATAGAAGCTGGGATCAGTCCAAACCAGTGGAATGACTGCTTCTCCTTTCAAGTCTTTACAAAAGACTGATAGGTGTCCGGGTGCATACTCCTTGCAAACCTGACAGTAGTATGCTGGGCAGTTCTTGTGGTGATGTCCGGCGGCATGGCAGTTACGGCATACGGCATTATCAACTGTTGCTGTTTTCACAGTAGTGATGGTGGTTGATTGTGCTGGGGGAGAGGGAGATCTTGATCATTGCTTGCAAGTTTTGTGTGGGGAAGCCAATGCAGTCCGTTTGGTGGCAATGTGAGTGGATCTGCGCCTAATAGGGTATCGACGTTCGGTGGACATGATGGGGGTAGGAGACAGAGAAGCTGGTATGTCAAGTACAGCAATAGGAGGGATATTATTATCCTGATGCTCAGCGGTAGTTGTTGGAGGGATCAGCAGTGGGACTGGAATGGCAATATGTGGAGAGGGAGGGCGTGCAACCGAGTCAAGAGTGATTCATTCTGTGACAATATGGATAGCTTCTCTGATGGCCTCTCTAGTATCATCAGGCAGCAAATGGATTGCAGTATTATGAATGCGTATATGAAGATGACAGAAGATGGTTTTGTGACGTTCATCATCAAGAAGATTAGTGGTGTGCTCAATGAGGCTAGCATCTCTGATGATTTAGATGATGAGTCCGCTAGATATTGCTCCTCTTTCTCCTAAGAGGCGATCTATTTCTATGGCATATTGCTGGGATGTGATAGCAGATTCAAACAGGGTGCTGGTCTTGACTTGGTCAATGATTGAGAAATAATCAGTGAGGATGGAGTCGTTGGTTAGGGTAGAGTCTGATGATGGTGAGGAGACGACTGGGGAGGATGTGTTTGCGATGAGATTGGCAGTGGTTGCAGTTTGGTAGTCGATCAAAGATAATGGGTGAGTGATGTTTTCAGATACAGTGTTCATAGCAGCGGTGAGTTCTTCAATTTGTTGGATACAGAGGCATAGGCGTTCAAGAGACATTGTTCTGGGTCTACAGTTTATGAGCCTTCTTATACGCAGCAAGGATGTCGGTAGTGTTGCTAAGGTTCTCTTCTGGAACCCATTTGTTACTGGCGGAAGAGTAACCTTTCCAGGATAGAAGGTAGCATCTTCATTTACCCATGCCCTTGTGCGATAAGATTGCATCGATTTCGTATTCTTCTTTGTTATCGATGATGTCTGGGGGTGGATCGTGGAAGTTTGGACCATGGATTTCTGTCTCATGATAGGACGATAATTCAGAAGCATGGAACATGGGGTGAACTTTCCATTGTGGTGGTAGTTGGAGTGTGAATGTGATAGGGGAGAGAACAGCAGTGATCAAGAAAGGGCTGTATCGCTTCGGTGCAAGCTTCCATGATGGTAACTGCATGATTAGATTCTTTCCCAATAACCAAACCTTATCTCCTATCTTCCATGGGTGATATTTCTGTCCATGAGTCCATTCCGCCATTCGCTGCATAGCAAGGTTATGGCAGGAGAGTGCTTCTTCTCTTGATTTCTGGAGTGAGTGAAGTCTGTCTTCTGCTGCAGGAACAGTAGAATCAGGGAGTATGTGGGGAAGGGCTCGCGGTTCATATCCCATCATTAGGAAGAATGGTGAGGCATTACGAGAGTCGTGTTTTCGATGATTGTGCATGAATTCCACCATTTGAAGATGTTCTACCCAATCTTTGGGGTGATTTTGGCAATAGATTCGGAGGTAAGTTTCAAGTTCCTGATTAAGTCATTCAGTTTGACCATCAGTCTGGGGGTGATAAGTGGTAGATGCGGCTATATCGTATTTCAAGAGCTTGGCAAGGGCTTTTGAGAATTTGGATACGAATTGCGGTCTGCGATCAGAAATGACTTTCTCATGCAAGCCAAATTGGCGGTAGACATATTTGAAAAATTTCTTGGCGACCCCTTCAGAAGTGATGGTTTTAGTGCATGGGATAAGAATTACCCCCTTCATAAGCCCATGGTCTACCACAACCATAACAGAATCAAAACCAGCACAAGGGGGGAGATCAGTGATAAGGTCAACAGAGACCTGGGTGAACGGAGCGGCGGCGACAGATGGGATGGGGATTAGGGGTGGAGTTGTTGGATGAGTATCGGATTTCATCTGTTGGCAGAGGGCACAACCTTCAATGTATTTACAGATATAGGTACCCATAGAGGGCCACCAAAAGTCCCGTTTGACCAGTTCTTTGGTTTTAAAATGCCTGGGGTGACTGGTGGTGGCATGATCATGGCAACGTTCCAAAATAAGGTGTCGGCCAGCAGGGTGGATGTAAGTGCAATCCTTGTAAAAAAGGATATCATCTTTTATCGTCCAATCCGCGAGAGTGGATTTCATGGGGGGAAGGGAAAGACCATCTAATGTGTCAGAAGTGGCCTTGAAGATGGGGTCAGGATCAGAGGGGTCAGGGTTGGCAAGGGAGGTCATGAGTTTGACGTCGAGAAGGTGAATGAACATAGAATCGGGAAGAAGAGTTTCATTGGCATTATCCTCAGAGGAATCCACCCCATGGTCTGGACGGTGAGAAAGCGCATCAGGGGCGGTGAGTTTGGTACCAGCAACATGATGAAGTTCAACATTGTAGCAGGATAAAATCAACTGCCATCAGGCCTGTCTCTGGGTTAACTTCTGGGCAGTTCTAAAATACAACAGGTGTTTATGGTCTGTGAAGACGATGATGGGATGGGGGTTGCCTTCCAATAATGACGCCATTCAGTTAGAGTGCAGATAACAGCAAGAAGTTTGTGATCAAAAATCTGGTAATTGCGCTCTGCGGGGTTCAGCATCTGTGACAGATACCCACATGGATGATAAACACTGTTTTCATTGGTTTGCAGCAATACTGTGCCAGTGGCGACAAGTGATGCATCAGTAGCTACCACAAACTGTCTGCTCGGATCTGGGTTTCGAAGGACCAGTTGCTTTAGGAAACATTCTTTCAGGGTGGAGAATGATGACATGCATTGTTCTGACCATAGAAACTTGATGTCTTTCTTAGTGAGGTCGATTAGGGGTCTAGTGATGTCAGAATAATGGGAGACAAAGTTTCGATAAAAGTTGCAGAATCCCAAAAATGACTGAACTTCTTTTACTGTCATGGGGGTGGGCCAGTTGCAAATTCTGTCAGTCTTGGCAACATCCATTGCCACACATCCAGGACGGATGATCATTCCTAGATATTCCACTTCTTGTGCATCAAACATGCATTTCTCTGGTTTCAAGAACAGCTTTTCTTGGCGAATTCTTTCAAGGACACACCAGGTTCGTTCACAATGAGAAGTGAGGTCGTTGGAGAAGATCAAAATATCATCCATGTATATGACGAGCCATCCTTTGTTGATTTCCTGTTGAAATGTCCGGTTCATATATGCTTGGAAAGTAGCGGGGGAATTGCAGAGACCGAAAAACATGATGTTTGGCTCAAAGAGACCATATTCCGTGGTAAAAGTGGCTTTCCATCTATCATCAGGATGGATATGAATATTGTTATATCCAGAATGGACATCCATTTTCATGAAGTATTTGGCACCATGCAACCGAGCGACTAATGAAAGCGGTAATGGGAGAGGGTAAGCATTCTTAACCGTCCAGTCATTGATGTATCGGTAGTCTTGACAAGGATGAAGATCCCCACTTTTCTTTCCTATGAAGAAGAAGCCGCTCGCCTGTAGCAATTTTGATTCGGAGATGAAGCCTTTCTTTACATTTTCATCAATAAAAGCTTTGACAGCAGTATGCTCTGCTTCTGATAGTGGGTACACTTTGGATGTCTTAGGAATAAAGCCGGGTTTGGTTTTAATATGATGGTCTATACCAGGCTGTTCTTTGCAAAGATATTGGCGAAATCGCGAAGGTAGGGAGGAACGAGTTCTTTGAATGATTTCTTCTTTTGCTCAAGTCCAGCTGCCAATGTGAACTGCTGTGCTTTATTACTGGTTTTGATGTATTCTTTTGGCCATGACAGGGGTGTAACCATGGGTCGTTGTTCTGCAGCACTAGTACCATCTTTGGTTAATGGGGTATCCAGGGATATATTGGTGATAATCCGGAGCTCAGCAGCATCGGCAGGATATTCAACCAAGAATTCATCGTCATCAAGATGATATGTGACGAGTTCATGCACAGCTGGAGTGTAGTTTGAAGTCCATATGTCTTCTTTAGTGTCGAAAGAGTCGTCATCATCATCAGGGATAGGGTCAAGGTGCAGTAATGCTAGGGGTTCTTCCTCATCTGGGATCTCTTCAATGGTAG